AACAAAAAAGAAATCAATTTCTTCTGCACTTATGGCTCATGCTTTTGCAGTTAAAGTGCTTTTGATTACTCTCCTAATATATTTAGACTCTCCCCAAATGAAAATAATATAGTCGCCTTGCCTTCTTCCATCTGATAAGTTAGCAAAGGAAATGTTATTTTAAACAAATATATTTGCCTAAGAGAAATAAATGAGATTGATATTTAATATGAAAGACCAAAAAGATGAACAAAATATTTAAAAAACTAGGAGTATCCTGGTTGTCACTCCTCACTTGTCCGAACTCAATCGAAAAATGAAATAGTAAATTAACTAAAAAGATAAATGAAAAACAAATACACAATTATTATCAATATTCTGCTGACATGAAGTGGAAAGATCATATTAAATCAATTGCTAGATCTGCTGCTAGGAAAGTTCGTTCACTGTGTCATGCTAGACAATTTTTCTTTTGCTTTTGATTACTCTCCTAATACATTTAGACTCTCCCCAACTGAAAATAATATAGTCTCCTTGCCTTCTGCCATTCAATAGGTTAAAAAATGAAATGTTACTTTAAACAAATATATTTACTTTCTTATGGTTATCCAATATAGTAATGGCTATCTGAGATTTTTCTCTCATCTTAACAGCTTTATTGATAGACTTATTGCAGACAATCTTTCCTGCTTCACTAATACATCATAGCTCAGATCTGGTCAGGTTTACATTACTAGCAACAAAATATTTCTTGCAAATGAAGATGTACAATTTTTGGAAGACTGGGCAGCACAAAGTCTAGATCTCAATATAATTGAACAATTGTGATGGAAACTGAAGAAAGAAATGTCCCAACAAAAAGTACACAATCTTCAAGAGTTTTGAGATTACTGTCAAGAATGGGAAAACTTCCCAATGAGAAAATATGAACCTTGTTCCATTCCATGCCACATTGAATTGATGTAATTCTTCAAGTCAAAAGCAGCAACACTAATTACAAACTCCATTCTTTGACTTTCTGTAATAATAAAGATCATTTTCAAGAAAAGAAATTCCTTTTTAGCTTAAGAGAAAAGAGGTGAAATGTGAAATTTTCGCTGGTGGCCCAGGGTATTTGCATGGCTTTTTTTTTCAACATCAATATGTTTAAGATGTTCTATCATCCACCACAAAGTATTAACAAAAGTAAAGTAACTTGTTTTCTGGCCTGCAAAGATCATAAAATGTATTAAGAAAAGCATACTGTTAATCACTCTCTATTTTAAGGTAAAATTAACAAAAATAATTTACCAAGGTGGCACAAAAATGTATGCCAATGTATAGTGAAACTGAAAATGCTGAAAGCTTTAATAGAATTAATTGCAAATTATTTTACAATAGAAATGCATTACAATTATTTATTAAATACATCAAAATGTTCGTTTTCTCTAATCACTACATATATAGTGACACTGCAAACATTAAATACATTTCTTATAATTCATAGAAATTATGTACTAAAAAAAATACATCTTAATGATTAAACAGATCTGTCCAAACTTTCATTTTTTCTCATGATTAGAAAATGATTACAAATTCAGTCAGTAGAAGAGAAAATCTTCTAGTGAGCAGGTTATTATATAAACACTTGCAGAAACTTTGAACTCTCTCTCTCTCTCTCCCTTGAGATTTTTGGTAGATTGCAAACAAGCGCCATGTTCATAGAATGATTCCTGATTGAGTTAAAAGCCAATTTCATGACATCCAGGTGAGGGACTCATTGCGCCTTCTCAGGCTAACGTTTTCTGCTGACATGAAGTGGAAAGATTATATTGAATCCATTGCTAGGTCTGCTGCTAGGAAAGTTGGTTCACTGTGTTGTGCTAGACAATTTTTCTCACCAGAATCTAGCTTACATATTTCATTTCTACCATGTATTGAATATTACTACCACATCTGGTCTGGTGCTTCTGTTATATATTTAGAGATTCTTGACAAAATCCAAAGTAGAATCTGCAATGCCATTGATCCTGACCTAGCATCTTGGCTTCAGTCACTATCCCACTGCTATAACATAGCTTCCATAAATATTTTCATGGTAACTGTTCTGATAAGCTTTCTTCTTTGGTACCATGACTATACAAATTTAAGTGCAGTACTAGATTGGCAGCTAGGTCTCATCATTATACAGTTAAAAGGCTAGATGGAAGTTCTATACTAACAGTTTCTTTTGCACTTTTTACTTGTGGAACTCTCTTCTGGCTTCTTGCTATCCAGCCAATTTTGATCTACAAAAATTTAAATGCAATGTCAATTGTTATATTTTATCTTCTTAATTCCTATTCTTTATTATTCTTTTTTCACACTGAGTAGCCCCTTGCATCTTAGTGGCTTTATTGCCTTGCTTGGAGTGAAATGATTAAAAGAAAAAAATAATTTTGTTAAAATGAAAGCAACTCTTGAACATTACACTCAATTTGTTTTGAACTGGAATCTTTTGCATCTTTCTACTTTCTTTAAAAAAAAAGAGAACTTTTGTTGTTTGACAACGCTGAACATTTGCCCCATTTGGACAACGCTTTTTGACATCTGACTTGGTGCAGAACTTTGACTTTGATAACTGTGAATGAGAAGTACCCAAGATGTGACTTTTTTACTTGCAAATTTCCTCATACTACAGATGGCAGCTTTCCTTATTGAATCTGAAGACATGTTTATAAGCATGACAAAAATCTCAGACATTACTTACTGCTAGGTAACAGCACGAGTGAAAACAGAACAATATCCATGACCCTAACATGTTTTTGAGAAAAAAATGCAAAAATCTTTTTCTTCTATGTGCCGTGTCACTTCAGGACTTGCTTGATCATGGCTCTCCAAAATGTCCTCTTCTTTGTAACTCTTAAAAATATATGTCTTTTTGCTATCCCTCCAACCTCTTGTTCTGCCATCCATTTGCACAAGCTCATTCAGTAAATCCCCTCCCTGACCCTTTTGCTTTTGATATGTCCTGTGAGTGACAAATTTTCCAAGCCTTCTTTCATCATTATGGGTCCCAGAAATTTCAACTGTCTCTTTCCAATTCTAACTGATATTTTGTTTCCATTTTTCTTAAAACTTCTTTGTTGCTTACACACTCCGTCCATGGTATTCTCAGCATCCTCCTGTAGAACCACAAATGCAAAAATATCAAATTATTGTCTAAAAATTCTTTTAATTATATCATGAAATAATCTATTTAATTTGTGAAATTAGTCTATTGCATATTAGTTTATTTAGTTTAATGTAATGTACTAAATCTATTCAATTTATTATGTCTATTATTTTTATTAAGTCGATCTGTTCAATTTAGAAATCGTCATAAATCCTCTTTTTTTATCATAGTCTTCTCTTTGTGGCAAATACATCTCTCCAGAATAGTCATGATGATTGGAAATTTTCAACTTATGAAAACAAGCATGCCACTTCAAATAAATGTTCGGACTAGAATTTAATAAATGATATTTACTGAGGAGAAAATTATTTAAGAAATAACAATTGTGCACAGGTCTGGTGAAAGGGTATCATGTCCCCCACCACCCCGAATCTATGATACAGTTCCCCACACTATACTACATCTCAATTTTTATAAGGTTAGTCAGATATGTGCTATGTGTGATACATGCTTAGGCGATCATTTATCTTTCAATACATGACTGACGAGGCATGTTTTTTAGTTTTGTGTCATTATATAAGTTTTAATGTACTTACTTAATAATTTGAAATTAATATCTATATAATAATATAAAATGTCTTAAAATAATTGTTGGACTTTGTCCATTTCATAATGTGTGATGTCATTTGTTTACATTTGAATATTCATCAAGCAGATGAGAATGAATATGAGAAAATCATGGAAAATTATTGTTTAAAAACAGTAAAATAAACCATGATAACCGAAACGCTCCTCTGTGGCGAAATCGGTAAAAGCACATCAGGCTATATGACGGTTCCGTATAGGATACAGGTTCGATTCCTGTCGGAGGACACATATTTTCTATGACAATTTCTCAGACATTCAGGCTGGTAAATGTTGTTAATACTGTTTATTATAAACATTTACTTAAATATTTATATCTATAAAAAAGAATGTATAAACATAAAAATGTGTTAAAAAATTAAATTTCTATAAATGTTTTTAGTGTTTGTCATGTCATTTGATCATTAACAGAATGAAAGTTTTGAGGTACTTGTTTAATAACTGTATAGTAAAATAATTTCCAATTAATTTTTATAAATACCTTGTCTAGTTTTGTCACTCAATATGTAATCATTAGGCTAAATCAAGGTGTAAACATATGGCCAATCAGTTATGTGCCACGCGTGATACATGCTTAAACGATCATGTATCTTTCGATACATGACTGACAAGGCAGATTTTTTCCTGCAGTAGGTTGCCATTTCTTTTTGTGGCAGATCAGTTGCCATCCAAGTCTATAGAACCCAGTCTGTTCTGCTATTTACCCATAGCTGGGTGGAGAAGAAGAGGATTCATACCTTTCCCAAGGGTATTAGCACATAAGTGAATGTAATGGATTCGACTGGAAATTGAACTCGGCTCTCTGATTCCTCAATCCGAACCGCTATCCATTATGCCTAATATTGCAGCAGTTTTTAACATAAAAAAAATTGAAGAATTTTAACATGTTCATTATTTAACATTATGGATAAAAGCTGAATTGTAATATATAGTGTTTTTTTTAGATTTAGCATGAGAAAAACAAAGATATGACATTACTTTCAAAACAGCCTGATAAAGGGCCAGTGCAATTTTCATGAATTTGTATTCATATAAAATACAAATTTTATTGTAACCTAATTATGTACAATAATGGATCCTATGCAATATAGGTGAACAATTCAACTAGAAAAATTAAAAATAAGTACATTGTATCTAAATACAAATTAGAGACATGTCATAACAGATCATGCCATCTTAAATAAATCAACAATGTTTTGTGGCAATTTTTAACAGCAACATGATTATATCAAATTTTAATTACCTTTCTTCCATCATTTTTTTAATATCCTCCAAACAAGAGCCAGTTCCTAAATGCGTATAATATGGACCCTCAATAGTTTCACTGGGAACATCTGAAAACAAAAAAAAGCAATTACAAATTAGTGTAAAAATATCAACAATGGGTTTTCATGGAAAAGTATAAAAAGAAAAAACATATATTGCTAAATGAGACTTGCAAAACATTTATTTTTTTTTTAATCATCTAGACTATATTAATTAAAAAAAAAAAAATTTAATTTACAATTAAAATTCCCTCTCCTTCATTTACATGTGTAGTCGCATCAATGTAAGCATCACTTTAGTTGCATAAAATGGATGAAATGCATTGCACAAAACCTTTAGCCACTTTTTCCCTAAATTTTTTCTTGACATATAAAAATTTATATAACATTTCCCTACGTGTATGTTTGTATAGCCCCATGCAGTTGGCCTTGTGCCACTAGATGTGGCAGAAGGTTGAAAGTATGAGGCACCCAGTGAGGATCAAACTCACTATTCAGTCATAATTGATCTAGCAAGATAAGCTTTCTAACCATTACACCACGTCCAACTGCCCAGGATGTATGTATGTATGTATGTATGTATGTATGCATCTATGTATGTATGCATGTATATATGTATGTATGTTTGCATGTATGTGCATATGCATGCATACATATATGTATGCATATATGTATGCATGTATGCACACATGTATGTATGAATGCATATATGTATGCATCCATACATATATACATACATGCATGTATGAATGCATATATGTATGCATGGATATATACATACATGCATGTGTGTATGTATGTATGTATGCATGCATGTATGTATAGATAGCAATTTTTCGTTTGAGACTGATGAAAGTTCTTTGTTTAAGATTTCTTTTTTCTTTAATTTTCCAAGAACTATTTAAAGATAAATTGTACTTTCAAAATTGATAAGCCATTTTTGAAGAATTTTTTATCAGTAATGACTTCCCAACCTTAATTCAGAATCATCATGGTTGGTATGATAGATTCATGAATGTCTAGGCTAGCTCAACTGAATAAAAAAAATAATAGGATTATATCTGTACGTAGGTCTTGTGTTTATTCAATGAATTATGTCCTGTTGAATTTTTTCAAGTGTCCCATCTGCACATTTCAGCTTTTGTTTTATATATATATATATATATATAAATTTAAAAAATGATGTTGAAATTTTTTTACCGTTAACAATTTTTAAAAAAAAACATTCAGACGACATCCATTCAACTGATGTCAGGTTTCATTGTAAAATACATCCCTACCCCTTACCAAATTGTAGCTAATAACTGATACAATGATACTGACATAAGGAAAATCTAGACATCCCTTGTTCAATTTAAGTAGAATATTCTGTAACCATGGAAAACGTGATTTTAGCTGTGTCTTTTAAAACCGGTAATTTTTAAAAGTTACTCCAAAATTCGCTTGAAGATGAAATGGAACTAATGCTTTTAATTTAATTGCAAAAATTAAATTAAGGTTTTTAACTTCTATTTTTTGAAACATGGTTGAACTGTGTAGCAAAAAAAACCATATTTTAAATCAATTAATTTATAATATTAATGCTCTGTAAATTTACATTGAGCACTATTTTGTAAAAAAAAAAAAAAAAAAAAAATAAAAAATATCTATAAGAACACCGGATTTTATATCTTACTGTTCTTTCTTTTTATTCATATATATATATATATATATATATATATATATATATATATTAATTTTCTAAAACTTCTTCCCTTTAAGACAAATACTTTCTAAACCCTGTCTTGTGCCTTTTGTCTGACAGAAACATTGAAATGGATAAATCCTGTATTAGTTTCTCGACAGGTTTTTTTTTTTTTAGATTTCACAGTTAAGTTTCTATTTCTGACACAAACTCAGTCCACATTGTGATTGATAAGGCAGACAACTGATATCTTCATCTGCCGAAATAGACTATTCCCCATATGAGATGATTTTGGAGTTTATTGTTTATTAATTATTTGCTCTATAATAATAAATACATTGAGCTCTTTCTGTGGCTCAGTTTTAATATTTTATATTGCTATAATTATATATATAATATATATATACATGCTAGTTTTGAGGGATAATATGTATCTTTATTAATATATACTTAATAGCTCTGCTGTATTACACTGAGCATCTATTAACATCAGCACTATATATATATATATATATATATATATATATATATATGGGGAAGCCATTGGTTTATACCAACGGCTTCCCATACTTAATACTTCTCGAATTCAGTCGCGTGGTCATGTGTGACGTCATGAGATGCGGTGCGATTTTTGCTTCCAGTGTCTTATATGCATGTGTTTATCGTTGCTTGGAAATCATCCATGTAAACAGAAACAAACTATCATCACTGTCTTGTCCATATATTGCTTAATATATTGTACAGAATTGTCATCTTTGATAATGGCTTATACTGGCAAAGCTTAGATAAGATTAAAAAATATGTATCAATATTGTGATTTTCTTTCTTCGTTTAATGATAATGTTATTAAGCTTATCAGACGTTATGAAAAGAATTTACATAAAATAAATAGACAACACTTGTCTATATTATTTAATGAAACATGTTTGAATATATATATATATATATATATATATATATATATATATATATATATATATAAACAAATGTTTGGAGGTACAAAATTTATAAATAGTTTTAAAAACTAGGAAAACATTGATTTTAATATTAAAAGTCTCTAGAGCCCTTTCAGCCAACATCTCATCAGGAGACAATCGTTGGATTAGCGAAATGAATAATAGCGATATTGAAGAGCAAAAAAAGGGGGAAACACACTAAAATAACGAACAAGTATATATAATTTGTAACGAGGAAGGTTATCGTGTAAATAAATAGCGATGGACAGTTAAAATAAAATATCCCCAACAGATTCAGAGACCTTATAAATTCTTTCACGAGCAGAAAGGTTTTCTAAATCCTATACAGACCGATTCCAAAATCTTCAAATGATTATTGGAATCGGCTGTATGAATAATTCTAAACCACTCTTTTTTATATATATATATATATATATATATATACTCAATAAAATCAACTATGAACACAGTTACAATGTGCTGACTATGTTTGTAAAAATAAAATTTGAAAAAGGTTGAACAGTGCCTTCAAGTGAAATCCTTCTCATAAACTCTCAAAATTTTCACATCTGCTCAGTTTTGAATATTCAGGCCAGTAGACAAAAATAAATATACTGTTTAATAAATAAATGGGCATCTACACTATCCACTATAAAGTAATGATTAAAGTGGTAAAATCTATCATATTAATAGATAAAAAATGCATTTCTTCTTTAGAACTTGTTTAGTTTACATTCGGCCATGAAACTGAGTAGATATGAAAATTTTGAGAGCCTACAATGAGAAGGATTTTCGTATCCAAAATAAACAAAGTGATTTCATTTATACAATATTTAATATATTGTCCTCCTGATTACTCTTCTTTTGTTCTCGTTCTTTAGCAATGTTTCTGTTTCTAACTCTTCCAAGTAACCCTGTGTCTCAGTGGCTTTACTGCCTTGCATAGGGTGAACTCAATTAAAATATATATATACATAATACTATATTATTTATTAAAGACATTTTTTAATGTTTAACGTTGTTATTTTATAGATAAAAGTATTTAATGTAAACAAATACTCTGTTAATATATGATAAATTTTGTTTAAATAACATTTACCGGCCTGAATGTCCAAGGAATAGAAAAATTATTCTTTTGAAGATTGAACCTTATAAGCAACCGTCATTTCGACCTTGTGCCTTACCTCTAGGCTACAAAGTAGCCTAGAGGGTAAGGCAATTTACACTTAAAACTCAATCTTCCTTGAATCGGATGCAGGTTCATAACTGCTCTGTCAAAGAAAACAAATCCATTTTAATATGAAAATTTGTTTACATTCATTCAGGCCGGTAAATGTTATTTAATACTGTTTATCATAACAGAGCATTTGCTTAAATATTTGTTCTATAAAATAACAACGTTAAACATAAAAAAATGTCTTTAATAAATAAATTGTCGGACCTTGTCCATTTCTTAACATAATACTATATATATATATATATATATATATATATAGGTAATAATCCATTGGTAAATAATCTGTTGGTAAATAATCCAAGTGAATTCTATTAATAAAAATATCAAAACTGATTCACATAGTTTGATGTTTTATTCAAACAGAGCATACATGACCTTTCACCTTTCACCATCCACCATGTCCAGACATTGCTACTCTCTCAATACCTTCTTTCTTCTCTTTCTCTTTGCTTCTTGTCTTTTCAATAATTCTTTTACTCTGTCTTTATTTTCCTCCATTTTTTTTTTTTTGCTTTCTTTTTTTTTTTTTTTTTTTTGCCTGTTTTTAAATTCGTTTTTAAGCCGGTCTCATTTGATTTTTTTCTTATCTATGGTGGTTTGAAAATCCTGCAAATTAGTTTTAATTTGTAGGTTAAATAGCTTTAACTAGAAGTAATCTTAATTCCTATTAGATGTAATATATATATATATATTTTACAGGAGGCACGGTGGAGTAATGGATAGCGGCTTGGATTGAGGAATACATGAGAGCTGAGTTTGAATTCCAGCCAAATCCATTACATTCACCCATGCTAATACCCTTGGGAAAGGTATGAATCCTTCTCTTCTCCCTCCAGCTATGGGTAAAATAGCAGGACAGACTGGGTTCTATAGCCTTGGATAGCAACTGGTCTAGGAGAAGGACAAAACCTGCTGAGGGTCATTTGGGAAACTTGTGGCATTCGGTGCACCAGGTCTCTGTATTTGCCCCTTCAAAAAGTGTGGATGGTCCTGCACAAAGCCTTCACCACTATAATCAAATCTCATGTGCCATTGTCGGGCTGTCGGTTTCCTGAGAACTGATCTGCTTGACCCTCATACATCGAATTCGACAGGAGAGTCAACTATATATATATATATATATATATATATATATATATATATATATATATATATATATATATATATATATATATATATATATATAATGTAT